CGGCTGCTCTTGCTGTCGCTGCCGCTGCCGTTGCTTCCGCCGATATCACTGCGAGCGCTCCTGCTGCTGCTGCTGCTCTTGTTGCTGCTGCTGCTGCTGCTCTTGTTGCTGCTGCTGCTGCTGCTCTTCTTGTTGCTGCTGCTGCTGCTGCTCTTGCTGCTGCTCCTGCTGCATTCTATTTCCGTTTTGCTGCTGTCCTTGCTGCTGCCTGCGAGCGGCGTATGCTTCCTCTCTGTGCCTCTTTTGCATGCAGCAGCAGCAGCAGCAGCAGCAGCAGCAGCAGTGCTAGCTGCTTCTGCTGCTGCTGCTGCTGTTGCACCTCCGTCGCCGCTGCTGTCTTCCCGCTGCTGCTTGACGCCCTCCTGCAGCTTCTTCTTATCGCCTATCTGCTGCTGCTGCTGCTGCTGTTGCTGCTGTTGCTGCTGTTGCTGCTGTTGCTGCTGCTGCTGCTGCTGGCTGCTTTGCTGCTGCTCCTGCTTCGGTTGCTTCTGCTTCCGTTCGCTTGTCTTACTCTTGCCTTGCTTCTGTTCCTCTTGCTGCTGCTGCTGCTGCTGCTGCTGCTGCTGCTTGTCTTCCTTCTCTTTTGTTCCCCGCTGCTGCTGCTGCTGCTGCTGCTGGTGCTGCTGCTGCTGCTGCTGCTCAGTCTTGGGTCTCTTGAGGCGGCTGTTTTCGTGTTGCTGCTGCCTTTGCTGCTGCTGCACTTTCTTCTTTTGCTGTGTATCATTTTGCTGCTGCTGCTTGGGCGTCTTCTGCCGCTGCTTCTCTCGCTGCTGCTGCTGCTGCTGCTGCTGCTGCTGCTGCTTCCTCTTGGTAGCTTCCGCAGCAGTGCTCGCAGCAGTTGTCTTGGCTGCATGCGTCCGTTTGCTGCTATCGTTGCTTTTGCTGCTGCTTCTCTTGCTGCTGCTGCTGCTGCTATTACTGCTGCCGTCCTTGCTGCTACTACTACTACTGCTGCTGCCGCTGCTGCTGCTGCTGCTGCTGCTGCTGCTGCTGCTGCATGCAGTGCTGCGCCTGCTGCTGCGGCCGCCAGCGAAGGCCTGCAGCAGCTCTGCTGAGGTGGCGAGGCTCCTCAGCTCCCGCGGGCAGACAGTCAGCAGCAGGTCCCCTTCATCTTCTCTCTTGCATGCAGCAGCAGCAGCAGCAGCAGGTGCTGCTGCTGCTGCTGCTGCTGCTGCTGCTGTTGGTGGTGTTGTGGGTGCTGCTGCAGAGGGTGCTGCTCTCTCCTTTTTTCTGTCAGATGGACCTGCTGCTGCTGCTGCTGCTGCTGCTGCTTTTGATGGTGTTGGATCTGCTGCTGGTGTTGTTGTTGCTGTTGCTGCTGCTGCTGCTGCTGCTGCTGCTGCACCTGCTGCTGCCTCTTGGGGGGTTTTGGCCTTCGCTGGCTGTGCGGCGGTTTTTCTCTTCTTCCCGCTGCTGCTGCTGCTGCTGCTGCTGCTTCTCTCTTTCTCAGCAGCAGCAGCAGCAGCAGTATCAGCAGCAGCAACAGCAGCAGCTGGCGTTGCTGCTGCTGCTGCTGCTGCTGCTGCTGCTGCTGCTGTACGCGGGCGTTTGCTGCGGCCCCCTGAGAAAGCCAAGCAAAGCTCATCGAGGGAGTTGCCCTGACCCGTCAGCAGCCGCAGCAGCTCGCGGTCTGAGCCCGCACTTGATTTTTTCTGCTGCTGCTGCTGCTGCTGCTGTTGCTGCTGCTGCTGCTGCTGCTGCTGCTGCTGCTGCTGCGGTTGCTCCGAGCTGGGGTTGGTCCGGGGTTCTGCTGCTGCAGCAGATGACTCGAAATTCAAATCCTTTTCTTCTACTGCTGCAGCAGCAGCAGCAGCAACTACTTCTGTAGCTGCTGCTCCTGCTGCTGCTGCTAGTTCTACTGCTGCTGCTGCTGCTGCTGCTGCTGTTTCTGGTGCTGCAGCAGCAGCAGCAGACGCTGGGGGGTTGTCTATGCCATCTGTCATTTGACAGGGCTGCTGTGGGGCCTTAAGAACAGCTGAAGTTGCTGCTGTTGCTGCTGCTGCAGCGCTGTTGCTGCTGCTGCTGCTGCTGCTGCTGCAGTTGATACTGCTGCTGCTGCTGCTGCTGCTGCTGCTGCTGCGGGCTTAAAGAAGAAGCTGAATCTAGAAAAGTGCAGCAGCCTAAAGGGCGCAGAAGGTGAGGGGGGCCCCACCGCTGCTGTGAGGTGTATCTACAGCTGGAGGGCCATTGGTATTGCTGCTGCTGCTGCTGCTGCTGCTGCTGCTGCTGCAGTTGTTGCTGCTGGCCGGATCAAAGCCCGCAGTGTATGGCAAATATGCTGCTGTTTCCCTCCCCATGAAGTCAGCAGCAGCAGCAGCAGCAGCAGCAGCAGCAAGAAGAACAAACCAGCTGAGTGCAGCTTAGTCGCCTCTTCGTTATCTTTTGTTTGTTTAAA